CCTCTGTTCTTTTGGTTATTTTTCCTCGAATGATTAAACTATGACAGTTATAATGTTTGTTCAACGATGTTAAGCCTATGTTCAGCCCCCATTTTTTCAAGAACTCATTTTCGACCACACGTTCTCACATAAAATAATGTTACATGTAAACTGGAAACTTTTCCTTATATTTACCCACACATTCTCCAAAAAAATCACTATTCCAATAATCACATTCACCCGAATTTTCATTAAAATGGAGCCCAAACAAGGGCTAATATTCATGGCTCAGGTCAGTTGTTTCTTTTTATTCAGATCAGTTCTTGAGAAGCTTTGATCAGTCGCTTCTATTTACTCATCCTATTCTCATAATCCTACTTTATTGCTGAGTGATGCTTAATGAGAAATTTCAGTGTGCACAATCACTTTAGCATGCGAATGAAATTATGATTTTCATTTTAATATTTTTCTATTGAGAAGACTGCTAAAAATAGACAATTGATGACATGAATACTTCATGCAGATGCAGAACCTTACCCAAATGCTACATTTGGATGGGTTAATGTCAAAGATGTCGCTACTGCTCATATTTTAGCATTTGAAAATCCTTCAGCTAATGGAAGATATTTATTGGTCGAGAGCGTTGCACATTATTCAGAAATTGTGAAAATACTGCATGAACTTTACCCTGCTCTTCCTCTTCCAGAAAAGTAAGTTTTTTTTTTTTACTCAATACCCAATACTGGCTATGTTAACGAGTTAATATCTTGTGAAGGTTTAAATGTGCACGATGCTGTATGCGTGGTCGTGTGATTCAGCTTTCCCATATAAGAACTTGGTTGCTTAAAAAGGAAAAAGAAAAATCCTATTTGGTTCACCATGCGAATGATTGATTTATGATGATGTGTTTTATTGAATTTCTAATTAAGTTTCCAAGCCATTTGTAAATCAATTGTGCTATAACCAAATGGGCTCCCACAGAACCATGAATCTCGTCGTTATAAATAAATGTAGACTTAGTTTTCTGAAATGTATTGTGAATCTAAAATCATTTTATTTAAAAATGAAGTCTCAGTAATTTGGCCTCGTATTTCCCTCAAAACAAGATAACGGCAGATATTCATCAACTTAAAAAGTTGATAACTAATTCCTTTTTTTCTCTTACTAGCAAAAATCTTTATAGCAATTTGTTGACTAATCCTTAGAATTATAATGTAGGATCCAAATGCTCAATGTTAGTATTTCTTAACTTCCCACTTAGCAAAATTGACGTAGCACCTGGCACAAAGATGGATATGTGAATTCTTAAAGAAGTTGCCCGCCACTTGGAGTTTTGTAATCAGAATTATCAATACTTGTGTTGGGATCAAAAGATTTTTATACACAATAGAGCTAAGTAGGCCCAAATTTTTCTTGTTTCAACTAGCCCATTTTTGGGCTGATCTTGAAGTATTTGAATTTGCTAACTTGGAAGTTAAAATAAGAAATCTGTACAAAAGTTGAGCTGATCGGTAGCCTAGGCTCAAGCCGAAATAGGCTTGATCCGCTGAAATTTTGGGTTGGGAAAGTAATCTAAAAATGAAGTTTTTGTTGTTCGTTGTAGCAATAACACTGTCAAATATGATCTGCAGGTGTGCCGATGACAAACCATTTGTCCCAAAATACCAGGTGTCTAAAGAGAAGGCAAAAAGCTTGGGTATTGAGTTCACCTCTCTTAAAGAAAGCATCAAGGAAACTGTTGAAAGCTTGAAGGAGAAAAACTTTTTTGGAGGCTCTTCGGCCAAGTGATGCCCCGTTTCTATTGAACTATCTTTGGGGTGTATGAGCACCTCTTTAAGTATAATACATTAATCTAAAGATATTTGTGTCCATCTTTATTACGCTACTGAGAGATTTGAATCCTGTGCTGGTGCTTTTACTCTGTAATAACCTCAATGGAAGGACCTTTTATATCTGAGTAATATCGTGTTTCCTCATAAATCTTGTGCTGCGTTCTTATTGCTTAGTTTCTATCTATCAGAATTTCCCCTCTTTGCTTTTTTTGTTTGAAATAGGATTGGGCTGGGTATAATCCGGTTGTCCCCAAAGTCTTTTCAGTCGAGTGGCAAACAATGTCGGTGCTGATTGGGATGTCCTGTCCAGCAACTATCGTGATTATTTTAATCTGCCGTGATTGAACAATAGTAAGTGAAGGAGTTTGGCAATTGTGAGGTATATGGCCTTGCTCTTGTAGCAGGAGTCCCTAACGCTAGTCAATTTCATAAGAATAGAATGAATGAGGCATGAATTGAGATCCGGCACTATTTCCATCAACCAAGCCAACCGAAAATCAGGTATTTTAGAGTAGAATCTTTCAGAGAGGTTGCTACATGTCTGGTCCATTGTGAGTTTTTTTTTTTATGTTAAAAATGTTTTATGAATTACTAGTTGCAAGCACCTGCTAGGTTTGTACTAAGAGCTTGAACAAGGTTGTTACATTGAGGATGATATAGAACTTCATTATACTCCCAAAAAATTAGACAATTTAACAATAGATAAAACCATATATCAGTAAACAGAGTATAGGTACTCTTGGTAACAAATATCGTTATCTCCCCCTATCTATTATAGTGTGTCATGTCACTTGAGTGCTTATGAAATCTTTTTGAAGATTATGGAAATTCCATAAAAAAATGATTAATCCTATTAAGAAACATAACCCTATTCACAAGTTAAACAAATTGGCACTTGAAGAAGATTAATATAATATGTCAATCGTTTAAATTGGTGTTTGGTATGTTTTTAATCAGTCGCATGATGACGTACACTTGCTGTGTGCTCATGTTATACTTCAAACAATAATTAATTAGAAAAATAATTGTATATTTCAAAAATAAATAACTCTTTAGGACCACCACAACCACCTTCCTCCTATCCAAACCTCCACCATAACAACCACTATGCCATCAACGGGACAATCACAACCACCTTCCTCCTATCCAAACCCCCACCATAACAACCACTATGCCATCAACAGCCCATTTTGATAAATCATAAAGTTGTGAGTCTCATAAAATATTTGGTTAAAATTAATTATTGATTTTGACTTAAATTTATATCAATTTTTTTAGTTAAACCGAACTGTGGCATAACTAAAAAAAGAAACATCTTTAGTATCATGTTTGGAGAAGCTTATAATCACTTATAAAATGATCAAACTCTACGTATTTTATAGAATTCACTAGTTTTATTTACTTTTAACCACATATTCTTTGAGATTCTGTAAGTACTTATAATTTTTAATTGGACTTTCAAATTGTAAAAGAAAAAGCATGGAAAGTTGGATTGGAATGAGAGTATTGGGGGGGTGCAATTGACTCACTAGGCCAGCCTGAGTTTTCTTCTACCTAGGACAACAACCCACCAAGTCAGCACAAGTATATTATGAAGCTCTGCATACTTGTAATATTATATTATATGCAAAATTTGA